TATAAGTATATGAATAATTTATTCCCTTTGAAGGTTCTGGGTGGCATATACAGATCTTGGTGGCTCTAATCTTAATGACATATCCGGTGTGATTTAGAATGAAAGCGTGCTGAACCATAGTTTCACAACAGAAGGAGTTTCGTTAGATGTACAAGTCTTTTTCCAACACTGAAATTTTTGGAAGACCTTGTTTTATGCCATCAAGTTGTCTTCGACTTATGGCAACTCTATGAATGAGCAACTTCCGCAATGTCCTATCCTCAACAGCCCTGCTTGTAGACTCAACCCCGTAGCTTCCTTTACGAAGTCAATCTGTCTCTATGATCTTCCTCTTTTCCTGTGTGGCCTTCAGCTTTTCTCAGTATTCTTATCTGGAACGCTGGCTGTAGGTAAATTCACAGTGTGCTTCAGATCAAGAGGTTGTGCCAGCACTGTTGAGTCTGCATTTCAAATTCCCAGATTATCGCCATCAGCTGGAAGCAAGAACTGGAGATACACAGGCATTGCTGTTAATGCAAGCTGGTGAACCCGTCCATCTGTGCATCAAACCACAGAAGGCGTACGTGTAGATATACTATTCTAAAATTAAGTGTTGGTAAAATACATGCTTTTGTTTAGCCTTTTCTAGTAGATAGGCTAGAAAGAATGTACCCACTTTACTGATGGAGTACATCTAATAAAACTAAAAGGTAAAATATTAATGCAGGATATTAACCATGAGTGTAACTAAAAGGAAAGATATTAATGTAGGATATTAAGGCTGGGCTTTTTTGCAACAGGGTAAGTCAAATTTCATTATTTAGAAACCATGGGGGGTATGCCAGCCCTTCCCCTCATAAGCAGAGGTTATAGCCATCAACCTGGAATATAGGAATCAGTCTTGATTTTCTGTAAGTCTACTTCCAACTTCCTTTTTGTGGGTTGAAGGGAGATTGAGGGTCCCTGTAATTTTTGTCCAGTCGTGTTGGACTCTAGGGGGCGGTGCTCATCCCCGTTTCCAAGCCATAGAGCCAGCGTTTTGTCCGAAGACAATCTTCCGTGGTCACGCGGCCAGTGCGACTTAGACACGGAATGCTGTTACCTTCCCACCGAGGTGGTCCCTGTTTATCTACTTGCATTTGCATGCTTTCGAACCGCTAGGTTGGCGGGAGCTGGGACAAGCGACGGGAGCTCACTCCGTCACGTGGATTCGATCTTACGACTGCTTGGTCTTCTGACCCTGCAGCACAGGCTTCTGCGGTTTAGCCCGCAGCGCCACCGCGTCCCTTTTGAGGGCCCCTGTATTCTCTTGTAAAACCACCAGGATTGGGAGCAGAAAATGCATTTTTTTGCACACACACAAAAGTTCACGGGACAGAAATGGTGGGGAAGACATGCAACTCGGGAGCCTCTGTACTCACCCTTCACATAAGTTCTTCCTCTACTACTACAGTTGTATCCTTGCTTTGGGTCATATCTTTTGATCATCCTTTCCAACACACTGCTATCAAAACCACAGCCTGATGACCTCAAAGGATTTATCTGCTTTATACCTCCATGGGTCTCCCGCCTCCCAATGTGTGATTTTCCACGCAACAGTCATTTCGCTTCCAACTGAACTCTGGCTTCCATTTCTCCCTTCCTCCTCCTCCTCTGTGTTTTGAGTGGGGTAGGGAAAGCTTTTGCAAGGCAATGAATTAGGGCTGGTTTTTGAAGTGCCCAGCTGCAGTTCTGAGCTGGCGGAGGCGCAAGAAGCCTGAGCTGAAAAGAGGCAGCAGCCGTTTTCAAGCGTGCTTTGCATTTGGCTGCTCTCGGGTTCTTCTGAGACAAGACGTCACGAGCGAGAGCCAACAGTGACCTTCTGTACTCAAGAGAGTGCCAGCCGAATGACTGGAATTCTTAGTTTTTCAGCTTCGAGCGACAGCTCTCCCAAGGAAATACGTCTCCTAAGGAGAAGTGGGCTTCCGAGGCTTGTTTGTGGCTCAGGTTGATCTGGGAAGGCAGTGCACACTGAGTGCAAATGCTATGCAGATCTAGTATTTCGCATCCTGGAAATTGGCTGTATGTGTGTGCGTGAGAGAGAGACAGAGAGAGAGATTATTTGAGCAATTCTTGCTGGATCTGCAGATGCTGCAAGACGAGCAAACGGTGCCCTCAAAAGCTACATGGGGCTCAGCAGATCAGCATGTTTTGCATGCAAAAGGTCCCAGGTAAAGTTCGCGTCATCTTCAGTTAGAGCAATCTTTGGTGATGCGAAAGGTCTCACAGAGAGACACAAACACAGCAGCCTCTGTTGCTGTTGCAAATAATTCTCACCAAAGGCGCTTCACACAAACTGACCAAGTCCAACCTTGGTTTCTGACACTGCGGAGAGACTTGTTTGAGTTTAGTGGTGTGTGAATGCAGTGACAATCGCCCTCCTTCCGAAAAAAGCAATCATCATTTATTTATTTATTTATTAAATTTATACCCCACCCCTCTACAGTGACAATCGCCCTCCTTCCGAAAAAAGGCAATCATCAGCAGATTTGTGTTCAGTTAATGTTTTGCTGCTGCGCGTTGTTTGTCTTTCAGTGTTTTTGGATTCTTCTTCCACCTTTGAATAATGGATTCTTCTCTATTACCTTAAAAGCTCCCTTTTATTTTCCTTCCTCTTTTGAACTATTCTTGTCGGAACTATTTTCCCTTAATCTCTATCATTTTCAGGAGCCTCCCCCCACCCTCTGTGAGATTATATAATAAAAGCGACGGATTGATTTTGGGAGACAAGGAAGCTCTTCATATCATTCGACAGCGATGACTCACAAGCTGGAGCTAAACCTTACATCTCTTCCACTTCCAGCTAAGTTAAATGTGAGATTTCAGTTGATTTTTTTTTAAAAAAAACATTAGCTGGTTTACTTTATTGGGAGGTTTCTTGGTATATTTGGTTTCCTGGGGGAAGAACATTCAAAGATGACTGTTGCAGTGGAAATTGATCAGTGCATGTAGCTTCAGTAGCTTAAGACAACCTCTCTTGAAGTGAGTAAATTGCCACGATCTTTCCTATGAAACTCCCGCCAACCTAGCGGTTCGAAAGCATGCAAATGCGAGTAGATAAATAGGTACCATCTCGGTGGGAAGGTAAATAGCGTTCCGTGTCTAAATCACACTGGCCATGTGACCACGGAAAGATTGTCTTCGGACAAAACGCTGGCTCTATGGCTTGAAGAGCGGGATGAGCGCCGCCCCCTAGAGTCGGACACGACTGGACAAAAATTGTCAAGGGGAACCTTTACCTTTACCTTTACCTTCCTATGAAACATTTACAACCTCTCTTGAAGTGAGTAAATTGCCATGATCTTTCCTATGAAACATTTAAGAGCTGGTCAGGATACACCAGTAGCTCTTGCGCTAGTGAATTATGCTTCTGAAATACTCTCTCAGACACTGTATTGAGTCAATTTCATGGTTGTCAAGGTGACTAGGAGTTCTTAAGTGATAGGAATCTATGTAGACAACTCAACGTGTTGGTGGACAAATGATGGATTGCTCTCTTTTTGCTCTTTCTGTCTTACTCTTTTCTGTTGTTTGCTTTAATCATCTCTGATCTAAATGCTAGGAAGCAGCTCTTGGGTGCTGGGATGTGCGTGGGCAAAAAAGGCCAATGAATTTAAATCTGTAACTCAACTTCGGCTGAAGTTGTAAGTCAAGGTCTGCTTAAGTCATCAGCTGACGATATCTCCTTAATTCTAAAGCGCCAGGATTAAACTCAAAACAAAATACTTCCAGTAAGTTGTGAGGTATTGTTTGACCCACATGCAAATTCCGGAGTCTTGAGAGTGAGGGTTAGTTTTGTGGTTAGGTTTTCACATAGACTTCATTTGTTTCCTGCCGCAATGG